AGAAGGGGGGAAAGGCCTTAAAGAAGCTCAAAAAAGCCTTGGGGGGGGGTAGGGGCTTCTTTGTTTAGAAGGCCTGTTGTGGCTTGTTGAAATCAATAACACAAACCCTGTCAAGTACGGCGCAACTCTTACGTCTGCTGTTTTTCTGGCAAAGTCCTCCGTGCCTTGAGACTGTCTCTGCCTCTGCAGTCCCACGAGAACAACATAGGTTTGCACAGACGCCCTTTTTTGAAGAAATGAACTACCACTAAAAAAAAAAATTACTACCCCCCCCCAAAGGATTGTTAGTAGTGCTGTGGATATCGCTTGCTGTCACATATAATTGAAAACCTCTGTACATTATTTGACTGTCACATTGCGCTAGCTGGTGTCCAGGACAAGAGGTGGCGTAGTCCCATTTCAGAGAGCTAGAAGCCTGTAGCTGATGTACTCCTAGTAGAGCAGGCTCCGCAGAAAGCAGCCATTGAATGTGTAGTGTGATCAATGAAGAGACTCCCCTCCAGCAGTCTTTATTTGCGGTCTACTATCAAACATATAGGCCAGAAACAGGCGGCTGTCTCTCTGGCAGAATCCCGGGCCTGCAGTAACTTCTTCTGTCATGATGTTGTGGAATGTTCATGAGTATTCCAGCTAAGGAGTAGGAGGTTGTACTTGCGAGTGCGAGGTCATGCAGGACGTAAGAACTGATATCCGTGTGTGGCTGCAGAGGGAGAAGAGGCCCGTCACGGCAATTGTGTAAGTCCTAACAGTATGATAACTTGGTGAGTTTAGGTCAGGAACTTTTGTCCGGGTTTCTTCAAGTAGTGTGTCGCTTAGCTAACTTCCTTGAGCAACCTGGGCTTTCCCAATGCTTCTGCACACACGTATGACAGACTGCATAGCGGAGAGGGCTGTTTAATTCCCTTGTGGATGGATGACAATATGATCTGTGCGATATTGTTGAGAACAGGCTGGCCTGTGGGCGGGGAGGGCTTTGCAGCTGACCGAATGCGACTTGTAAAAATGGGAGCCTGTTGACAAAGAAGCCCCCAGGTGACTTGTTGAAAGCGAGAGGGCAGAAGGAGGAAGGAAACAAAAGCCCCTGGCGAAATTACCTTCCTCTGTCTAGTTTCATGTTGATTTCCATAGGACTTGGAGCTGGTCCCCATGTGGCCCTCATAGGGCAGGTACCATTGCAAACAGCATCCCAGTGTCTTGTTTTCCACGGCATGCTTTAATGTTCACTTCTGCCGAACGGGTTTCTCTCACCACACTGAGAGTTGCCAGTGCATGTTCCAGGGGAGGGGCTCCTGGCCTGGCAGCCCACAACTTGCAGAGAGCAATCTAAACAAGGAAGACTATTTGAACCCATTAGCTGTGGGGTGGAAAACTCACCACCAGTGTTCCCTCTAAGCTGAGTTACTGTGAGCTAGCTCACAGTCTTTTAGCCTGTGGCTCACACATTTTTGTCTTAGCTCAGGAAGGGATGGCTCCAGAGCAAACAAATCTATGCAGTAGCCAAACTGCTCGCTCACAACTTTAATGCCAGTAGCTCACAAAGTAGAATTTTTGCTCACAAGACTCCACATCTTAGAGGGAGCATTGCTGACCACAGGGATGCAGATTTCAGCAGCATCTTTACATCAAATGTGAGGTACATGCCGGCCATATGTGGATCTTGGAATACAACTTTAATTAGCCTCCATCTATACATTGCCTTACAGCCCTAATAGCCCAGTCTAGCCTGATCTTGCCAGAGTTTAGAAGCTTAGCTGGGCCCATACTTAGATGGGAGACCACCAAGGAAGCCTGGGGTTGCTAGGCAGAGGAAGGCAGTGGCCAACCGCCTCTGCTTATCTCTTGCCCTGAAAATCCCATGGGGGTCACCATGAGGCAGTTGTGACTCAATGGCGAACTTTACCTTACACGTTGCCTGCCTTGAAACAAAGAAGGCTGCTGGGGACAGGGGGGGGGAGGGGGGAGTGGTTGATGGGGAAATGCTTGACCCTTTCCCTTCCTTCTGTTTCCATATTTCAAATTCTGCTTTCACCCCAGCAACTTTTCCATCCGTGATGCTTGCCGAATTTCACCTCTTCTAAAATGGCTGCTACTCGGCCATTGGCTACGCTTCCATGAAAACATGTGGTTTCATCCCCAGCTTCTCGATGCAGTGGAAGGGTGGGCAGATGTGCCCTGGTATACTCAAGCGGGATCCAAGCCCCAGATGCTCGGCCTGCCCCAACAGAGCTCTTTTTCTGTCCATCAGCCAGAATCTCTGCGAACGTTTGTTTTTGCTGCGCATTGCAGAAAGCTAGTTTTGTGGGTGCCGTGGAAGAGTTTTACGGTGGTTCTGTGTGTTTCCCTTCGTGTGCCGTAGAGCACGAAACAATTCATGTCGATAGGGCGTGCCAGTCCAGGCTGTTAATGCTCCAGTTTCGGGGGCATCTGTTTCGCCGGTAGAAAACCAGCCGGGCTGCAGTGAGCACGCACACATGACAATGAATGTTATAAATTATTTATCGGTTACCAAGAGACGGGATCCGGGAGACCAGGGTAGACAGGAAAGGGGGTGGGTGGGGAGGGAATACATATATATATCATTATTTGCAAGCATCAGTAGACAAGAATTTCGCCGTGCTCTGCTCCAGGAGTGATTTGATCACATGAAGTGCAGGCTGGTGAAGTGGTATGGATTCACCCAAATGATTGTGACAACGAGGAGCATGGCCAGTTTCCTAAAGCATAGTGGCAGGTGCTCTCCCAAGCAACACGACTTTGGCAGTTGACGTTCCTTGAGCACCCCTGCAAACATTAGAAAGAAGTATTAGAAGCTTGCAGTGCTGTACGTGAGTGTGCAGCTCCAGATTTCTGTGTAAGGGGAATGCGGGCAAGTGAGTTAAAAACTGGAAGCGGAATTCACAATATCAGCTTATTGGAATATACTAGTTCGGGGGATCCCCAGCCTATTTGAGCCTGTTGGGCACCGTTGGAATTCTGACACAATGTGGTGGGCCCGGCCACAAAATGGCTGCCGCGGGAGGCGGAGCCACCCGTAAAATGGTTGTCGCAGCTTGCAGTCGCACAGTGAAGATCTACGTGCTGTAGTGGCAGCCAAAGCAGCACTTTTAAAAATCTGCACAGCCAATCAAATCTCCAAAGGCCGGTCAGAAGCCCTGCTGGGCAAAAGCCCCACCCGGCCTTGCCCACTCTCTGAAAATATTTGGTGGGTGCCAGGGCACCAC